ACAAGGTCACCCCCAAGCCCCGACGGTGGCAATGGAGGACGCGCCTGATCGTGCCGCTGGCAGTTCTGACGTGCCAAACGTGCCTGGCCCCGCAGATGGTGGCACCACGAACGAGAACGAAAACGGCCATCAACAAGCGAAGGACACGGCTGTCAGCGCGACGGGCGGTGCCAGCGACGAGGACGCACAGGCGAGCGACCACAACCTCGCGCAGGCTAATGGTCAACAGGAGGAACCTGATATTGCACCATGCAGCAGTGCTGGCAGTGATGCTGGCGATGGTGGTGTTGGCGGTGTTGGTGATGGTGATGGCGGGAAAGGAGACGTGCCGAAAGAGGAAGACGAGCACCAGCAGGCCAATCCCAGCAATGATGGAGGTGCCCAAGTTGGTGATGGGGACAAGAGCGACAGCAGCACCGCCCACACTGTGAGCGGACAAGGAGGGGGAGGAGGAGGAGGAGGAGGAGGAGGAGGAGGAGGCGGTGGTGACGATGGAGACGACGATGATGATGATGATGACGATGGTGATGATGTTGGTCGTGATGATGGTGATGGTGGCGAAGATGGAGGTGGTGGTGATGATGATGATGATGGTGGTGATGGTGGTGATGGTGATGATGACGATGGTGGTCATGGTGGTGATGGTAGTAGCCCGGGACCTCCATCTGACAGCAATGTGCCAAGCTGTATCTTGCGTGAAGTGGTACCCTTTGCCCATCACGTTGCCATTGTCACTGGTCACCTGCAAGCGGACACCAAGGGCGACATGAGTGCAAAGACCTCCGCTGCACAGGCGTCAGCAGCGATCCGTGATGCTGTTGCCGCTTCGGCAACCAGCACGCTGACGCCCGTGTACTGCGGTGCTGACACACACAACGGCGCCGGTGTATCGATGCGCCTTCTCTCGCGTTATCAGCAACAGCACCAACAGCACCAACAGCAACAGCACCAACAGCAACAGCACGGTGATACGCAGTCATCACACTCTGCACTTCCCCAACACTTGACCAAGACCACGCCTGTTCGCCTCATAAGTCCAGAAACAGTCAACTCAGTCACCGGTGGCCTGCCCATGTGGGCACAGTGGCACGTGGAGACCGCAACCCTTGTCATCGTGCATCCACCACCAGCCGCCATATTGGAGAAGGAACTGAAGGCGAGCAAGGGCAAGGGCAAGGATGGTAAAGAGGCGAAAGAGTGGTGGTGGACGAAAGTAACCAATGTGGTGAAGAGTGCATTCGGCACGTCCACGAACAAAGAATACCTGAAACTGCACAAGACTGTGCTGCTGTGGCTGGCACAAGCAGTCATACCTGCGTTCCACCAGCACCTCCCAGCCCTGCTCTACACCCTCTCCCAGGATAAAGCGGTGAAGAAAGGTGTGTTTATGTGTGCACGTTCGTTTTGACACGTGTGTGTGTGCGTGTGTGTGTGTGTGTGTGTGTGTGTGTGTGTGCGTTAGCGTGTGAGCGCAATTTGCCCGCTGTACACGCATGTGCATTCTGATGAGCCGACGCATGCCACGCTCTCTACTGCCTTCATCGACTCACCCTTACCGTTCCCGTTCCCTCCAACTTAATCACGTCCCATGCAGAACTGGCGGCAAACCTGAAGAAGACTGAGCGGTGGCCGCTGCAAGATCTGCTTCATCCAGATGTTGTGAACTACGTGACACAACTCGACTCTGTGAAGGACCACCTACACAGCAACCCGGCCATATTTGCCCGCCAGCTCTTTGCGCTCCCCGGCACAGTCGCTGTCGGCGACCGTGGTGACGGTGGCAGTGGCGACGACATTCGTGCGCTCGTGTCCATGATGATGAGGAACTTCTTTCTGCTCTGGAAGACCGCCAACAACGACCACGTGAGGGCGGTGGTGAACGAGTTCCAGTCCGTCGTGCGTGCAGCTACACCGCATGCCAATACCAATAACAGCAGCACCAACAGCAACACCAGCGGCAGCAGCGGCAGCAGCGTTGCATCCCTTGCAAGCAGTGCGCCCGGCACCACTCACGCCGTGAGCACGACCGCTACGCATGTGTTGGAGTATTTTCGGCGAATGGCGGTGGTGTGGCGCGAGCTCAAGCACAACGATGACATTGGAAACGCCATTGTGGCAGCGGCAGCCGCGCACGTGCACACGTTTGCGTCCCCTGACCAGATCACCGTGTTCATCAGCACGCTCCGCACCCTCGTGCCGCCATCTGTGGTCTCGCAGGTGGACGCGTCCCTGCAGTCGTGTACACATGACCGCGCAACGTGCGCACATGTGTTGCAGGTTGTCCCAGAAGAGTTGCGTGCACATGTGGCCACCTCTTTCCTGGACAGGCTCAGGTGCTCCAGCGCACACGCCACTACTGCACCAACAACGACAACAACAGCGGCAGCAACGACAACATCAACATCAACAACAACAACAGCGGCACCATCATCAACAACAGCAGTAACTACCCCGCCGCCATCGCTCACGCACCAGCTGCGGCTGCTGCTTGAGGTCCTTGCGCTCCGCACCACAAGCTATGAACAGCGCGTGCACGACTGGGCGCAATCACTCAACAGCACCAGCAGCAGCAGCAGCAGTGGCGGCGTTTCGCATGGTGACTTGCGCTTGTTACGGCACGCCGTTGGTCTGTTGTCACACAACCACTCGCACGCGTTCACACGCGCAATGACGCTCACCTCGCTCGAGGAAAAGGTGCTGGCGTTCTGCATTGTCATAACAGCGCTCACAACACACGTCTTTGGTGGCGACAGCAACAACATCAACAGCAGCAGCGGGAATGATGACGGTGGCGGTGCAACGCAGACGGGTGACCCTGGCAGTGGTCACGATGACAACGCTGCCACCACCTTGTTCCCCAACCTGCGGGCGGTGCGACAGCATGTGGCTGCTGTCCTGCCGCCAGAAACAGAGGGCTCACTCACATCATCACTCCAAACGTTCTTTGGGCGTGGGTGGACGAGTACCCACCACCCATCAACATCAACCACAACGACAACATCATCGTCGCCGTCATCATCAGCAGCAGCAGCAGCGATAACCTCGGCTGGAGCGACAGCTCCAGCGTCACCGCTGCCGGTGCAGCTTGTGCCGTTACGTTCCCAGTGTTTCCCCAACGGTCACCCGTGTTTTCGTGCCATGCTGTGTGGCCTGGCAGACGTTTGCCAACGCAACATCCATGAGCACTTCGCAGACATTGCACGTGAATACGAAGGCACGAAGCGCGTGGATGCGGCCGCTGTTGCCAAGTTGGTGCCGCCCTTGACCGGTGTCCGCTCTGTATGGGCTGCACTGGCGTCTTTCAGCAGCACGGCAATGACGGCAACAGCAGCAGCAACGACAACGCCGACAGGAGCATCAACGACAACAACGACAGCAGCAGCAACAACGACAGGAGCAGCAGCAACGACAACGCCGACAGCAACACCAACAGCAACGGCAGCAGCAACGACGACAACACCTTCACGTGAGGACGGTGCAACGTCCCTGTCGCTGCACACGATCAGCGACGATGACGCGAATATACTCGCTGCAATCTTGCTCGCTGAAGCTGAGGAATATGAAGGTCAGCTTGACGCTGTGGCGAAGATCATCAGCACCTCTGGCACCAACTCTTCTTCACCCGAACAAGTGAACCTGCCACAATGCTGCCTGCATACACATTGCACCAGCAGCGCACACGCAACGTCGGCAACCCTTGAGGATGTGCTGCTGCTCTTAGGTCACCCATTTATCGACAGCGCCCTGGCAGAGTTTCGAGGGCATCTGGCCAACTTTGTACGCGAGGCCATTCAGCCGCTGCCATCTAAAGTTCAGACCATCATCAGCGACGTGCTGAAGCAGGCATCGCCAACTGCCCTGGCGAACTCGCCCCTCTATCATGCCCTTGTTGCTCTCGAACGCGACACACAGCACACGCTCACCGATGTGACAGAGTCCAAGGCAATGCTTTCAACAAGAACAAAAACAGCAGCAACAGCGGCAACGATGATGACGATGGCAACCACCACCACATCACAGCGACACATCAGCACTGCGTCCAATCACGTGGGTGGCGCCTCTTCAACCGCGCCCACGCTGCCAGCTGACGCCGCCACACCCACACCGTCGTCACCAGCAGCAGCAGCGTTCATTGGCAGCACGGCTACACCAAGCACGCACGCGGCGCTCTCGAGGAAAGTGGCTGCGCTGCTCGCCAACTACCCAATCATGCAGTTCCCTAAACTGATTGATGAGGTTCGTGGCTCGTTACCCACGGGTATTGAAGCCTACACCCTCGCGAAGGCGCTGTGCCACGTCGATCCCATGGAGTACATCGCCACCGCCAGTGCGCCATACATTGGGGCGCTGAAGGAGCAGCAGGAGCGTGCCGAACGCGAGCTTGGAGACAAGTTGATGCAGGGCAGGCTGTGTGGCGCAGATGTCCGGGTATTTAGTGACGCAGACATTGCAAAGATGAGCGGAACTGACAACACGGCTGTGCACGCTTGGCTGAAACGTCCACGTGCTGTCCTTTTGCAACAGGTGCTGTTTGCTTGCATGCTGCTGCCACGAGAGAGCGACGACGTGAAGACGTTCTTGTGGGCGGGGCAGGCGGCAAGCAAGGTGCGCGACAAGGTGTCAGCGTACCGTGACGCGTGGTTCGTTCAGCACCTCCGGTGTGCGCGGGAGCGAGGCAACTTCAAGCTGCAAAGGCTTGCCCGCCTCCTGGCAAACGACAACCTTCTCCCGCGCGACTTTGGCCTCTGCGGCGGCGACAACCACGACGTCAACATCCACGTGGAGGAGACGCTCATGCGCTGCCCAGCGCTGAACCCAAGAACGGTGCTGAGCGCTGTGGCGATGATGCAGCAGCTGCCGCTTGACCTCCTGCAGAAGTACGAGAGCACGTTTGACACGGACACGTTTGACAGCTACATCATGCAGCGCACAGGTCGTGTTGACGACACGAACGGCGACCTCTTTGTGCAGTATTCGCGCCTCTTCAGCAATTACAGGACCGCGCGGAGGTTGTGTGACGGTGACCTGTGGCTTCCACTGTTTCTTCGCAAGGTGTGCGAGGATCACAAGCTGCTGGGCTACTTTGACCAATCGTTCTTGCTGGCGCAAGCGAGGGATACGGTACATGCAGCAGCAGCAGCAGCTGCTGCTGCTGGTTCCAGCGACAGTCTCCCCGCTGTTGTTGATGACGGTGCTGAAGTTGACAACGATGAGGATGATGATGTGTCATCGTACGCCGCCATCAGACGACGTCAGGACATCACGCGGTTGGAGCAGGATCTGCAACGCGCGCACAGCGGCAAGGCAGTTGGCTCTGCCGAAAACCTGCGGGAACTGAGCAAGCTCAGGGACAAGTCGCAGAACTCAGTCCAGCTGTTCCTGCGCAAGCCGCGCTTTGAAGAGGAATCCATGACCGGCGCTAGCGATGCCAGTGGTAGCAGCGATGGTGGTGATGGTGGTGATGGTGGCAGCAGCAGCAGCCCTGGCAGTGCGCATGTACCATTGATTCCTGATTTCACCATCGTCCGTGGGGAACAGTGCACGTATGTGATGGACAAGGAGCGGCTGCTCGACTTTTTCGCGTTCCTGAAGGAAAGCATGGAGTCGGCAGATGCAAGCGGCCTACGCGATGGCAGCGCAAAGGTCCTGAAGGAGGTCTCCACGAGCGTGGAGCACTTGCAGAGCATCGTGGCGGCTGTCAAGTACCTGAATGCCGTGAATGCGTTTGACTTCACGCCCACGGTCAGCCGGGATGAAGGCAGGTCCTCTGTTCTGCTCAAGTTCGGACTGGGTGAGTGCAAGGCTGTGCTGTCTCACCTGCAAAAGTACACGCAGCAATGGCAGAAGGTGGTGATGAACGGCCGTGTGCAACGCGGCGCGCTTTTGCGAGACCGATACCACCTGCTCCGCCTGTCGCTGCCACAGCTGACACAGCTTGAGCAGTGCATTGGCAGCAGCGAGCGCCTCCGCTCTCTTGCAGACAGCGACTGGAAGGCGCACTTCTCAACGCGAAAGAGGGACGAGGAAGCACAGCGCGTGAAAGACCTGCTTGGCCCCGCAGCGCCAGGTGACTTGGCGGCGAAAATCGACGCACTGCTCGAGAGAAAGCTCAAGTTCATTCAACAGTTTCTGATGGCCTCGCAGGCAGAGCCACCATCGTTGCCGGCGTCGTTCACGCGTCGGATGAGCAGGAACACAGCGCAGTCTGAAACTGGTGCTCGGCGCGCCCCGTGCATCCACGTGTCCGTGCGCGTGTCGCCCAGACTTTATGATACGTCCTCACCACACCGCCTGCTGTTTGCGGGGATGTTGGAGGCTTTGAAGCATGTGAGCGCGCCCCCTGCGCTACACACCGTGTTCTTCTGTGACCATCACCTCCCTGCTGCTGGTACCGACGATGCTGTCGCTGCTACTGCTGCTGCTGCTGCTGCTGGCGGCGATGGCGGTTTCAGCGATGCGTTTGATCGCTTTCTCCTGCGTGCGCTCTACCTGACTGACAAAGAACAAGACAAACGGCGTCAGGGCCAGCATACCCAGCGACAGCAACAGCAACGTGGTGGCAGCGGCCGTGGTGGTAGTGGACACGGCAGCGGAGGAGGTGATGATGGTGAGCAGCGCGGAACGTGGTGCGAGGAACGCGCACCGCACGTGGTCGTGATGCCGCTTGATTTCCGCAAGTGGAAACACGTGGAGGCGCGTGTGAAGCGTTGGAACCTGCGACGCGCAACCACACATGTGGTCTTCCTCTCCGTCATCAAGGCTGGCAGTGTCGGTCGCACTGTCGTCAAGAACTTCAACCAACACGTGATGCCGTCCGGGGCCGCACGCGATACGACCGTCGACTCGCTCCGACACTTGCCTGACGCCATGCAAGAGCTGCTTGAGCACTGGTCAATCAGCACCAGCACAGTCAAGGGCGATGCGCAGACTGGCAAGTCATTTCGCCTGCTGCACCACATGCGCACGCTACAAAAACGCACTCACCGCCGCCCAGTGTACCCCCACATGCTCTTCTCGCGTGCCGACATGAATGCGTTCCTGGACTCGCTGGCCCACGACCCATCATCAACTGTGTGGGTGCAGTCGCGCCTGAACACGTCGCCAAACAACGCCATGGAACGTGTGCTGCTTGAGCTTGCGCTGTTTGGTCGTGCACGGTCAGCGGCAGGCACGCTGTGGCAGCCGACGCCGCGAGATCCGGCTCGAGGCAACGAGCGCCAACCCATGACGTTCTTCATTGAACTGCATGCAAGCACCACATCAGGCATCACCGCCACCGCCCCCGCCACCCCGTCATCTCCCGGCCATGCACGCACACCACCTGTCACGTTCCTTGCAGACGAGCTGCCCGTCGCGCCGTTCCAAGCACACGGCGAGCACGATGGTGATGACAGCAGCACCTCGGGCGTTGATAGCTCCAAAGCAGCGCTTGGCCTGTTCCATGGGCTGGCGGCGCGCCAAGACCTCGTGTCCCCGCAACTGCATGAGTTTTCACGCATGTCTGCCCTGGGTGGAGACTTTGCGTTGGTGCGAAAGTGCTGTGCGCTCGCTGCATGGCTGTCAGCCACCAGCAACACATCCATGCTGCTGACGAAAGGCATTTCGCTTGATAGTGCTGCGCGTTCGACTGCACACGCACTGTGGGAACAGCGGTGGGGTGCTGCTCGCATCCTGCAGTGGCTACTCTCGCGCAATGATGGTGGTGATAGTGGTCGTGTTGATGGTGATCATGGTGGTGATGGTGGAGGCAGGTGGGGCTTGCAGGACGTGTGCTGTCTGGTTGTGCCAAGCATGCGCCATCGTTCAAGCGATGTGGTTGTTCTGGCTCCGGCAGCACCGCAGCACGTGCAACCGTCATCGCTCGCAGACCCCGCTCCACTCCACGCTGATGGCAGCGGTGGTATTGGTGGTGTTGCGGGCGACGAAAACAGCAACGGTGCGGGCAGTGGTGCACAGCCGCCACCCCCGCCAGTTGCTGGCGCGAGTGCACCCCATGAACTGCTCAACAGCAGGCTGCTTGAACACATCCAACGCACATCAGGCGCTGTGATTCAACAGCTGGGCACACAATATGCCCGCCGCGAACAACAACAACAACAACAACAACAGCAGCAGCACCAGCAGCACCAGCACCAACAGCGGCGGCGAAGCCCGCAGGACTATGCATGGGCCGTTGCCACGCTGGCCAGGGCGGTGGAGGACTGCTTTGGTGAGGCAGCAGTGGAACGCGTCATCAGCAGGTTTCCTCAGTTTGTGTTCTCTCCACTGGTGATGATTCGGCTGCTTGTGCTTGCCCTGCACGCCAGTCTGCGACTGCCCCTCATCCTCGAAGGCGAAACCGGTGTTGGCAAGACGTACCTCATTCGCGTCTTCTTCGAGCTCATGCACGAGCAGCCACATCAGGACCACCGTCACCAACAGCAGCGGCGGCAGCGGCGGCAGCGGCGGCAGCACCAGCACCACCACCACCAGCAGCACGGAGAGAATGTGCACGCATCCCAACCCCAGCTGCACATTCTGGATCTTCAGCCCAGCCACACGGAGCGAACAGTGCTGGAGTGGTTGACGTCTCACAGCATCACAGCAACAGGCGCAGAGATGCAGCGAGCGCGTAACGTGGGCATGCCACCACCCAGACCGACCACGGTCGTGTTCATGGATGAAACCAACTGCTGCGATGTTCTGGATGTTGTGCAGACGTGCATGCTCGATGGGCTGGTTGGCCGGGCTCACGTGCGCCAGGACGTGTGGGTGGTTGGCGCGTGCAACCCTTCACGTGAGCAAGACACGCGCGTGGGCCTGTACAAGGTGCTGCCGCTCACAGCGAGCCTGCGCAAGTTCACCTGGACGATGGACGTCAACTCCCCAGAGGATATTCAGTTCATTGCGTACAGCGCGCTGAGCACCGCGCTCACCCTTGACCGCAGCCACCAGCCGCCGCACTTTGGAGATGATGAGGACGGGCATGATGATGTCAGTGCTGATAGAGGCGCCAGTGGCCGTCACGGTGACGCCGCCAGCACAGGCGTTCGTTGCGATGCGGGTCAGTTGGTTACTGCTGCACACCTGGTTGCCCGCTGTTACACAACGCTGCTGCAGTGGTGCCAAACAGGCATCCCATCAGCATCTCAGACACGCGCACGTGCGCGGGAGGAAGAGCTTGTGCCGCCAAGTGTTCGTGACGTGGTGCGAACGGCCGAGCTGGTGGCGGAGTTTGCGCACATCAGCAGCGGTGCAAATGCAAATGATAGCGGCAGTCACGGCAGCGGCGGTGGTGGTGCAAACCATGACGGTGACGGTGCTGTGCATCATGGTTCCGGTGTAGGAAGAGGCGCAGGGTCGCATGCAGGACGTCGCAAAGACCTGTGGTGGTGCGCGCGCTTGGCGGTGGCGACCGTGTTCCTGCTGCGGCTGCCCGAACACAAGCGCCAACTGTTTTGCTTGCAGGCATGGGACGTGCCATCGTTCCCCATTGATGCGGGCCCTATTAACCCTGTCATTGAACAGCATCTCCTCTCCCTGTCGCTCACTGCACAGCTACCCCCGTCTGTGGTCACGCTGCTATCACCGCTGCTTGAGTGCGTGGAAGCGATGCGACACGTGCTGCAATTGGAGGCGTGTGAAGGACTATTCCTGACGCAATCCCTGTGCGAGAACGTGTTTCTGATGATTCTTCACATCTACATGGGGCTGCCTCTTTTCCTCGTTGGTGAGCCGGGGACATCCAAGTCCATCAGCCTTGCACTCGTGTCTCGATGCGCACGCGCTGCACTTCGCAACCTCGACCTCTCTGCAGAACAGAACCACAACCCTGCCAACTCAGGACTACAGCAACAACAACAACAGCAGCAGCAGCAGCAGGGGCGACGGCAAAGGTCACGGCGGCGGCGGCGGCGCCGTGGGGGCGGTGGACACAACCGCGCTGATGGTGGTCACGGCGCACATGCCAGCGTTGATACAGGACTGGCTGATTTCGTGCGCTCGCTTCTGCGGCGACCAACCATGTACATTCTGCAGTGCTCGCCTGAACTCTCTGCACGCATGCTGGAGAAAGAATTTGAGCGTGCACAGACGTACGCACAGAGCGGTGCCGAGGAGATGAAGGAGGCTATGGCTGTGGTGCTCGAAGAGGTTGGCCTGTCGTACGCCGGCTCCGGTCGTGTGCCCACGCTCAAGGTGCTCCATGCACTGCTGGACCGGCAGTGCGACCTCAGCTTGCCGCGAGCAAGCCGCATCCCGTTCTTTGCGCTTTCCAACACGTTTCTCGACGCAGCGAAGATGAACCGAGGCACGGTGGTGCTGCGCCACAGCGCGTCCACGCACGACCTCAAGGTTGTCATTGCATGCGGCCTGGCGCGGGCACTGCAGCAGCGTTACTCGAACCACGTGCAACTGGCACAGCTGAACATGACACAACTAGTGGCGCGCATTGCACACCTGCATCAAACGCCACAAGGTCAGAACAGGCAGCGCACCTCCGGCGTGAGTGTGGAGGACGTCGTTGACGCCATTCGCGTCATGTCACAGGAGCTGCTTGCCTTGTATCAGCAGTTGACTGCAGCAGCCAGCATCGGTGTCCAGACGACGACACCCACACGTGAGCAGCGTGCGTACGGTCTTCGCGACCTCTACTGCACGCTTCGTCGCTTTTTCTTCCTCTGCAGAGAGGATGGCGCACACGCGCGCGCTCAGACGCACACGGACGACGACAACGATGATGACGAGAACGGGGATGACGATGAGGAGGCAGCGGTGATGGGGAACAAGAGGAAGAAGAACAGGAAGTCGCAAAGGGGCAAGACGTCGGAGCAACAGCAAAGACAGAGCGGAAGCAGCACGGCCGCCAACAAGAGAGGAAAGAAACAGAAACAGCGGACAAAGAGGAAGCCACGATGGAAACACGACGACGGGGATGATGGTGATGATGGGGATGATGGTGATGATGCCGTTGATCGCAGGAACAGGGGCGAGGGATTTGACGAGGCAGGCCGCAGCATTGTGGAGAACTTGTGGATTGCCGTGATGAGCGAATTCGGCGCTGTGTCGCCCGTCTCTCAGCCGTCCCTGATTGAAGAGTGTATGCGCCGCCTGTTCAATAACCGCAGAGTGCAACACATTGACTGCGTGGCGCGTCGCCCTGCGTGGCGTGACGTGACCAGGCGTGTGCAAACACTCACGTGCTCGGAACGGCTCCTCACATCAGCGCTTGTCAGCAGCATCCACGCACCCACGATACAGCCGGGCACCAGTCTCGCGTCAAGCTCAAGTGCGCCCTCAACACCCGGCACACGGGGGGCACACACGGCTGCTTCAACGACTGCTTCTGCTTCTCCTGCTGCTGCTGCTGCTGCTATCACGGGACGCAATCGGGGCAGCACGTCCTCGTCCGTGCCATCGTCGTTGGGTGTGCGTGAGCGTCACACGCTCATGGTGAGCGACACCCCACTGACGCCCGCTGTCATGCAAATCATCATCCGTTCAGCACTCCCGCCATATGCACTGAGCTCGCAGCTGCCTGATACGTCATTTCCGGCACAGGCGAGCATGACAGCAGCGCCGACGTCACCCACAGTACAACCGCTTTTCCCACAGGCGTCTCGTCAAATGTCAATGCCTGCTGGAGCTGTCCCGCGCGTGCGCGTGCGCGTGCTGGCACCACGCTGGAGCGATGAAGACATGCAAGCGCTGTGCGGCCACGGTGGGTATGGCAGCAGCACACGTTCAACATCAGCCATGGCTGGGACATCAGCGCAGCTTGCACGCGTGCGGGCAGCGTACCTGAAGCGGCTGCTGGCTGCCATCGCGCAGCCGGGCGTGTGTGTCGTGCTCGCCCCACGCCTCATTGCGGAGACGCTGTACGATGTGATCAACGGACATGCCACCGCTGCAGACGTCACTGCTGGCGCGAGCGGGTGGACCTATGTGCGCATCCCTGTTGGGGGTCGCTCGAGATACACGCGCATGCACGACAGCTGCCGACTCGTGTTTGTGGACGACCCGAGCGCTGTGATGGCGCTCCCGCGTGCGTTTCTGAACCGCGTGCAGAAGGTGTTTTGCCCACTGCCAGCGCTGGAAAACATCATGTGCGCCGCCGCGGCTGCTGAGCGGCCAAGCAGAAACGTCGCCATCGCACGCATCCTACAGGTGGCACGTGTTTCTGGGATGGTGCACACGCACGCGCTGTTGCAGGCCATCACCGCGTACGTCACGGCTGACAGTATGAGGGCGCGTGTTATCCTTGGGACTGATGATGAGGACGGCGACAATGTGGGTGAGGATGACGCGAACAGCAGCAGCAACGACAACGACACAACCACTCAGAGCGCCGGAAATGGTCACATTCCGGGCGCGGCGGCTTTGCCCGATTTGCTTTCGCCCCAGCAACCGCTTCCAGCAATGGCCACACATGTGGTCGACGGCAGCGAGCGGCTAGTGCACGGCGCAAGTGACCTGATACGGGTGTGCAAGGAAGCTTTCGCGTTGACGTGTCGCCCAGAGCTCCACCCCGTGAACAGCATCCCTGACCTGGTAATGACCACTGCACCGCTGCTTGTGTGCCATCAGATGGTGGGAGAGGATCTGTTTGCTGCACTCATGCGGGCGTTTGAGTGCAGGGGAGCGACCATTTTTGACTTTCACGCAGTCAATCAGGCCAGTGACTCAGACGCAAGTGATGACGACAATTCTGACCACTACAGTGATGATGATGATGATGATGATGATGATGATGATGATGATGATGATGATGATGATGATGATGATGATGATGATGATGACTGCGATTATGACGGCGCCGTGGGTGTGGACAGCCATGCTGGCTCTGGCTACGGGGAAGGGTATGGTGATGACGGCGAACACAAGGCCGGCATTAACACTGCTGGCCAAGACACGAGTGACGGGAACAGTGGTGATCGTGGTTGCGTGCGCTGGGATTATGTGACGGTTATCTTTACCAGTCACGATTATGTGAAACGCAGCGCGATGGAAACGCTGCAGAAGGTGTTGGACCAAACAGAAGCGGTGCGCACCTTGTTGGAGCAGCAGCTGGCACAGCACGGGCGCGAACGTGGAAGCGACGGCATGTCAACACATGAACAACAAGAGCACAGCGGGTCGCCAAAGCGCAGAAGTGCCGTCGCTCTCGTGTACGCAAGCAGCCGTCACCTGCACCCGAATGCCCTCTCCACGTTTCTGGAGCACTTGCGTGTGCAGTGCGGCGAGCACGTGCGCTGTGTCGTGATGTATCACGAGGAGGTGGACCTTGTGAATGGCATGGCAACGCCCCCAGCAGCGTTTGGGTGGACGTATGTCAGCACCGGGTACGGCAACAGTGATGACAGCGGTGACGAACAGGGAGAAAGGGGACGTGCCAGCAGTGGTGATGGTGGTGGTGGTGGTGGTGGTGGTGGTGGTGGTGGAGGACGAAGAGGGGATGATGATGATGATGATGATGATGAGGAGGAGGAGGAGGAGGAGGAGGAGGAGGAGGAGGAGGAGGATGATGATGATTGCCCTACTGTGGCTTCAATGGCCACCGTTCTCCCTCCTTCGGCCCAGCATCCAACAAGACAAAGCGGCATTGCAGGGTTGTTGTGGCTCTACGCAAGCGACTACGCGCAGCACGTTCGCCGGCTGGCAGACCAAATCACCTCAACAGCGGGCAGTGGCGGCCCAGCTGCAAACCTGCCCGTTATGCTCGAGCACCCCTTGCTCACACTGCTGCACCGCGAGGACGCGCGCTTGGGCGGCCTCAGCCTCCAAGCAAGGTCACTGGCACAGCAGCAACAGCAACAGCAGCAGTTGGGAGGACAGCGAGGGAACAGAGGAAGTCGGCAGCAGCAACAGCAACAGCGGCAACAGGTACTGGAGAGTTCGCCATTCCCAGCCATGGTGAACCGTCGTGTTGAGCGTCGACTGGAAACGTCGGGCCTGATGGTGATTGACCTACTCGATGTTGCTTCACGCACATCACACGTTCACAGCCAAGGTGACGCCAAGAAAGTTGTTGTTCTCCCGCGCAGCAGCGGGTTCACGCCAGAGCAAATGGCCCTGGTGGAGAGCATTCGTTTTGCCACGAGCGTGGATGCGGTGGCCCTTACAGACGTTGCCTTGCGGGCGCTGCAGGACCCACATGTTCTCAGCGAAGTGCTGAACGTGCGAGTGCCACAGAACACCAGCCAGTTTGAGTGGCGCGAACAATCGTGCGTGGTGTCGCTCACAGCGCGCGGCATCAGCCTCTGGGCGGCGTTTGACGACGACTTACAAGCGGCTATTGATGAGCTGCAAAGTATTGTCGAGCAGCAGCTGTGCGAGTGCAGGGTCAGCGTGCCGCTTGCCAGTGCGCTGCCAGGTGTCCCTGCACACACGCGTCGCGACTTGCTGCACATGTGGACAGACCAAGGCCTGGGCAAGGTGCTGGACTGCATGGTGAATGCGTCAAGCAGCGGGGAGGACCCTTGTATTGCAAGCGTGTACATCACCTGTCTTGGGTACCAAACAGCACAGGCGGAAGAAGCGCTGGCCGCTCTCCTGCGCCAGCTTGAGCAAGACATTGTTGCCGAGTGTGTTATTCTGCCAGAGACATACTACGCTGAAAGGGGCGATGATGGTGGCGATGATGAGTCGGCTTGCGCGTGTGCGTACGCTCGCAACGTGGCACCAGGCTGGCACCTCCTGACGCAGCAGCAAGCGCAGCGCAACCACGGTGGCAGCCACGACCACATGTCATTTGTTCAAGTCGGCCGCTGGCTTCGCTGGTGTGAACAGAACAATGGCGATGCAGACAACGCAGTATGGACCGCTTGGCTGTTGGACTCCTGGAAGCGCAATCACGGTGTGACGGACATCGCCGTCAACGGAACGCACGTGCGCTTCACCATCACAGGAGACGACAGCAGCAGTCGCACAGGGTCACGGCGCGAAAGGCGCCGCCAACGTGCACAGCAGCAGCAACAGCACGTGCAGCGGGTGTTGGACGTGGACTGTGCGGGTGTTGGCGAAACGGCGTCGCTCACTGGTCTGCACGAACGCACCTCGGTGGCTGTGCTGGTGTACGGGTATCGCGAGGATGTGACGAGCGAGCGTGAACGTCTCTCCGGCCTCATCAGCTCGGAATGGCGGCCTGCGCGTGTGCCCGTGTCACGCATCGTGCGGAGGCGAGACGTAGCCGCAACAGCGCGAGACCTCGGCTGCGACGTCTATCTCGTCAACCCCAACAACGACCACGATGACGACGACGACGACGAGGACTACGCTGGGGAGGGCGCGATGCTTGTCGGGGATGAAGCTGGCAATCGCACGTATGTGGTGTATGGCGACTCGAACAGCAGCGCCACCTTCTCCCGCATGGTGACACAACTGCAGGAATCGCGCAGGCAAGAGATGGAGACAGGCCCTGCCGACGCAGCGTGGAAGTTCAGTGAAGATGTATTGCGACGACTCCAGCCAAGCATGCGTACCATGAGCAACAACAGTGGTGTGCGGGTCGCACCACTGCCAACTGACGACTGGTCTGCGGCCCTCATTCAGCAGGTGTGTGTGTGTGTGTGCGTGTGTGTGTCTGTGTCTGTCTGTGTCGGTGTCTGTGTGTGTCTGTCTGTGTCGGTGTCTGTGTGTGTGTGTGTGTGCTTACGTGTTTTGTTGAAACGTGTGGTGAAGGAAATGCTGTGACCACTGACTGCACATTGAAAGCACACGCTCTTTATCACTCATCCAATATCTCAACCGTTCACACGCATACACACATTCACACACATTCACACGCACACATTCACACACACATGTGCACCTGTATAGCTCGTGGATGAAGCGGGTGGAAAGGTGAAGACGATGGACGAGCACATTGGCTCAGCAGCCAGCAGCGTGGCGGGTGCGTTGGCGGTGCACAATCCGCAAGCACAGGCCGCGTTCTTTGCCGCCATCAAAACGCGAGCAGCACGACACCTGTCGAACCAAGACCACAGTTTCGCGCCAAAATACGCCTTTGACACCGCAACTGGCGCTGCTGTTGATGCGGAACAACGGGCCGTTCTGGCACGCATGACCCTGTCGCCCGCAGACGCACGCGCAGCCGATGCACACGCTTGGCCGCATCCGTTCAGGGTGCTTTCACCCCCGCACTTGCAAGGCGATCCACCCATCCGCATTCAGCGCGTGTTTCATGGCGTCAAGACCTTTGACGCTGCTGTTGGCATCGTTGCTGGCGGCTTTGCCCAGTTGCGCACGCGGGACAGCGGGTTCTTTGGCACCGGCATATACTTCACCCCCAACTTGCACTACGCGCTTGAGTACGCCGAGCCTTGCATCATCAACAGGCAGGATGGTCGCCTGCCACCATCGGACTTGGAGAATCTCAACCTCGCTAATGGCACATACCGCGTTGTGCTCGTATGTGATCTCGTGTACGCCAACCCGTACCCCGTGACAGACATGACCCTGATGGGACAGGGTCTGAAACCGGGCCATGACGCACATGTGGCTGTGGTAAACTTCAGTGGCGAAGCACAGCCGTTTGGCTCGCACAGCGAGTGGGACTGGAACGAGGACACCAACGTGCCTGCTGGCGAGATTATGATTTCGCAGGAGTCGCACGCACTCGTGCGTGCTGTGCTCGTGCTCAAGCAATAGCCATGTGTGTGTGTGTCTGTCTGTCTGTCTGTCTGTGAGTACTTTCTGTCTGTCTGTCTGTCCGTGTGTTTGTGCACTTTCTGTGAGTACTTTCTGTCTGTCCGTGTGTGTGTGTGTTTGCGTTTCAAGTGCGATTGTGCGTTCAGTGCCATTTTGTGCTTTTGTCTGCCTACCTGCCTTTTCTGTCCAGCCATACCCCCCCCCCTCTCTCTCCCTCTCTCTGTGTCTGGTTTGTGGCGTTGACGAGTCGTGGTGGGATGGTACAGTGATGTTGTAAACGGAACAGTGCCAATGAAGAATGAACGGAATCAGGCAGAGGCTAAAGCAAGATGAACACACAGAGAAAGGCAACAGAGGGTTGCAAGCAACGCGCAACATCGCAGAAAAGACAAGGGGCAGCTGCACCCGCACATTGAAACCAAAAGCACACACAACAGGCACATCCCATAGCTCTCATTCTCGCACCCTCATGTGCCTGTTCGCACAAAAAACGCACAATCAGACATGCACGCACACGCACAACGCAAACAAATACACGCAACCAGACAACAATTTCATTCACACGTTCCCGCAACCACAAACACAAGCACACACAACTTCACTCACACACACACACACACGCACGCAATCGCGCAAACACGCTCAGGCGGCGCTTTGGAGTTGGCGGGCAATGTTTCCGGCTTCGCGCCGCAGGACCTCGTAATCGTTGATGAACAGAATGTAGTCGCTGTGCGCACCACGCGAGCGGTTCTCGCTGTCGTACCTGCCTGCAGGCCCACAGATATCACGCACGCGGTCCATGGCGTTCCGATCACCGACGACAATGCCGTAGCTTGTGGTGTTGCAACCGTCAACAATCTGGCGCGAAAGCTGCCCAACACCAGGGCCAGCGTCTCCATTCATCCCGTCTGTCTGGAACATGAGAATGCGGCGGTTATGTGTTGCGTAGTCACTCTGGTCCCGCCTCAACGCATCCAATGCTTGACGCAGTGGAGGTTGGAACAGTGTACCACCACGACAATCGAGAGACCTGATGCAGCGCGACAACGTTGACTGGTCGTTTGTCAGCCACGTGTCGATGCGTGAGTGTGTCCCAAAGCCGATGATGGCCATCCGGTTGCGAGAAGCACCGACACCAACTTCAAACGTCTCCATCATTTGGTGCAAGAAGTCACACAGCTGCTGGAAGTAACCCGACATGCTGCCTGACAAGTCCACGATGCAGACCAGATCAACGCCCGGTGGTGCCGCCTCCCGGACAGCCTTGTCCAAGAACGCGCGTGCAGTTTGCGCGTGGTTGTGGTTGTGGGAGCCACTTGCAGCACCAGGGAGCGCAGCAACGTTCGTCTTCGACTTTCTCAGTCGCAGGTCTGTGCCCACGAGCCAGCTTGTCGTGTTCATAACGTAGCGATCGGTGCCACCGACGTCCCAGTTCACCCACATCTTGGTGAAGCCCGTGTCGACGGCAATGCGGCCGCAGCCCCGGCGCTCGCCGTCGCGTGCAAGCACAACGGGCACGCGTCTGTGGCTGGTGTCGGCCTTTGCAAAGCCTCCGCTCGCAACGGTGCGCCAAGACCCGTCCCGGGACTCTGTTGTCGGGTAGCAGATGGTGACGCCTTCAAACAGCGTCACCAGACCAGTGGTGATGGGGTGGCGGCTGTCAAGCCTGCCATTCGACTGCTTGGACAAGACGGTGTCGCCTGGCGTGCCCTGGTAGTACCTGTCGCGCACAATGAAGTTCCCGCCGGGAATGTTGTCTGTCACACGCATGCTGTCACCGCAGTATGCAAGAATGGTGTTCACGTGCACGTGGAAGGGGTCGTTCTCGCCCAGCAGGAACAGTCCGCCGCCACGCTGGTGGAACTGGGCACACGCCTTTGCCACATCCATCACATCGCTCTTCCACTGCTCAACTGCGTCAGGGCGCCCGTGCGCCTCCATGTAGTAGGCGTCGCCAGCTGCGCCAGAGATCACCCACGCAACATCGTATCGCTTGGAGTGAAGCTCGCGACAGAACTCACGCTCGCTGCCCACGATGCTGAACGCAAACCCCTTCCGTTGCATGAAATCCTTGACGTTGTCACGCAGCATGTCTTCCGGCAGCTCGTCAAGCACCACCTTGTCATTGTCACCACCCACGTGCCGCACGTCTCTGTGGGTGCGCACGGCCTCAGCCTTTCCCGCAGCCACGTACAATTGACCTTCGTGGTCACGAAGCTCGTGATGCTCCAGGCCGAGATGAGCAGACAAGTCCCTGCGTCGGCCGGACCACGCTCTCTTGAATTGGCACGGCACAAATTCGATGCGTGCTCTGAAGAAGTTGCCAATGAGGACATGATGGTTGGCAAACGCGCCGTCGCACGCCAGGTCAAACTGCCCACCCCGCGGGTTCTTGTACTTGTCGACCTCCACCTTGCCCTCGGAAAGCGCCTTAAGCGAGTGCTCGCCCAAGCGACGGTTGTAGTATTGAAGGATGTCTGCTTCCTTCACGTCCAGGATGCGATACATGTGCTCCATGTCCTCCTTCAGTTGCTTGTCTGCCTGCTTGCGCCGCTGCTGCTGCACCGACTTGACTGCCTCCCGCTTGGCGGCCAGGCTCTTTGCACCGTGGAGGGTGTAATACCGGCTTCGAAGCTCGCTCTTCAGCGGCCCACACTCAATGTCGTCAGACGTTGCCAGCGTGAGCATGCATAGCTTGAATTTGTGCGACATGTACTCCAAGTTGAGCGGAATCGGCACAACGTCAAACGCACATCCCAGGCTGGCTGGCTCTGCGCGAATGAGGGCGTCCTGGATGCGTACAGGGAGGTGGAAGTTGAGCTTCGGTGAGAGGAGCCCGCGCACAAACAGCTCTTCCTCTCGCCGTCCGGGCGTCTCAGGTGGCAGCTCGACCAGCGGGAATGGTACGCGCTGTGTGCGTGTGCTGCTGCTACCGCTGCGACTGCTATCTGCACTGCCACCGAAGAAGGGGTGGTCGTTGATTGTGACAACGTCAATCTCCCGCGCAGTCTCATCCATGACGCGTCGAATGAGCGTGATGATGGTTGGCCATTCCGCGGGCAGCTTGCCCGTGGTTCCTGCAAGCGCAAACACGAGTGCCTTGTTGTTGCGCAGGAGGCCTGGGTCCTGCGGCAGCAACTGTGCAAACCTGTGTCCCCACAGCGCGTTGAGGCGAGTCGTTGCCGTGTGTGCGCTGCTCGTGCTGATGATCTGTGACGAGGCCTGCAGCAAAGCGGCGCGCAGATTGTTGGTGGCCTGCTCCGGGCTACCCTGCGCGGTAGGCTTGATGCTGCTGAACATCGCAGCCCATACGAGCGTGCGCGCAACCACTTGCTCCCACTTGTGCGTGAAGGCTGCGGTTGCTTGCGCCGTGTCTCGCCCCGTCTTCTTCGTCAGGCGCGCTAACAAGTCCGCCTCCACGTCCTTCTGCTTGTCAAACAGAATCCACACCGCCAAGAAAATGGGGCTCTGTGCATCAAGTTTGAACGTCGTGTCGACTGCTGCATCGCTGCCTCCGTCTCCTGCGTCAACGGTGTCCGCGCTTGATGAGGAGGAGCCACCACTGCTACCACTACCACTACCACCACTGCCATCCCCAGTGGCACCACTGACAGAATCGTTGAGGCTCGGCCCGTATTCCAGCACGACGTGAATCACAGCCTTGCACAGCTCCTCGCACGTCTTGAACTGGATGTTGGCGCGCATGAGGGCGCACAGGTTGCCCGGGTCCAAAGCCTTGACCACGCTGTACGGGTCTGGCGCTTCGTTGAGGAGGCGCGTGATGCCCACAATGTCGCTGATGAAATGCTGCTTCCAAACGCGTTTAGCACGCGCCCAGCTGATGGCCGCGTTCTTCTGCAGGCTGACACGAATCCACTCCAAATCAGCGTAGTCGCCGCCCTCGGAGAAGGCACGCCCCTCGCCCAGCGGCTGCACCTCAGAGGCAAGCCCCGTGACGAGGGGGAAGTCGGGCTGGTCGATCACGCACAACAGTTGCAAGCACGCTGTGCTCGCCACGTGTTGTGGTATGGATGTGCTTGCCACGGCGCTGCTGGCGTTGGTGGGGCGATCGTTGGTGTTGGCCCGTGGGTTCAGCCCAATCGTGTGCAACAGGGCCAGGCACTCCTGGAAAACACAGCGGCACCAGAGCGACAGTCGCACGATGGGCGGGATGGTGTGGCTCTCCGGAAGCTTGCGGCAGTACTCGGGGAAAGACAGCAGCAGGTACTCGTCAAGCTCATTGCCTTTCTGTTTTCCCTCCATGATGGGGTCGGACTGGCCGTCGCCGCCTTTGTTTGGCTGTGCTGCTGCGCTCCCGTTGCTGGCTGCCGAAGTGTCATCACCAGCACCATCGCTGGCATTGGGAGCACGAGCAGGCGCTCCACTGGGCTCTCCCTTTCCTTCTTCTTCGCCATTGCCCTGACCTCCTTGCTGCTCGTGTTGCTCCATCTTCAGCTTCATAAACAGGTACGATGCAACGCCTGCGCGCGTGAGCAGGGCAAACGGGTCCCCGTCTGTCTCGTCCAGCAGACCCGCCAGTGACTCTGCGAGCGGCTTGTCTCCAAACTGCTCGTAAAACTGCTTCACAAAGTGCGTCATGCGCTCGCACATGAGCGGGCCCAGTGCCTGTGCTTTAGACAGCAGCACGGTATCCAGCCTCTTTTCACTCGCTCCACTGATGGCATCGAAGGCGGCCTTGCGGTTGCGGAATGTCAGCACGTCATCTGAGAAGAGCGCGCGACTGGCACCGTACCACCACATCAGGTGCGTCAGCGCATCCTGTTTCCCAGCATCCTTGCCCTTACTTGTGTCTGCCTGCGCAAGCGTGGGAAGCTTTTCTTCTTGTCTCAGCAGCGTGCACAAGTCCGAAACGGGGAGGCGGCACGCAAACATCTTGACGTCCACCTTCGCGTCCTCCCACATCTGCTTCAAGTCGTCGTCCTCCTTCTCCTTGCGGTTGCCAATGACCACAGTGTACATGCGTTGCTGGCGCCGCAGCAGGTACTCAAACACCTCGCGCTTCTGCGCGCGCGTGAGCATGTGAAACTCGTCCACAACCAGAAATGTCTTGCGGCTGCTGTTGCTGCACACCTCCTCCAGCAAGGACGTCAGGTTTTCCTCCACAAGGCGGCTGTTTGAGCAGTCAAAGTACTGCCACTCAAACCCTAGGTTCTTGGCCCGTTTCATCATCACTTTCTCCATGAAGCGCGTTTTCCCTGCGCCCGGAGGAGAGAAGATGACACGCGCGTGCAAGTTGCTGTGGCCGCCCGCCTGCTGTTGTGGATCGTGGGAACGTTCCAGCCATTGACGAATTTCGTACTTCCAGTCTCCAGCCACACTCGTGTACGGGAGTGCCACTTCTTCCGCCTCCACCTCATCCAGGGTGGGTTTGTCCCACATGCGCTGTGTTGACTTGTACTCAATCTTCTCAATGCTGAGCTGCGCTGCTTGCCCCTGCAGGAACGACTGCGTCGCGCCACGACGGTGATGGTGACGTCGGGCCTGCTGCTGCTGCATTTGTGGCGGCTGCTGCTGCTGTTGCTGCTGCTGTGGCTGCTGGTGGTGGTGATGCCCCAGACCGCCACCGCTGCCGTCAGTGGTTGCGTTGGCGAGTGGCTGATCGACCATTGCAGCAACGCCTGCAAGGCCAGCAACGCCGCGGGCGCCGCCGGTGCTGCTGGTAACGGCGGTGCTTGCAGTGGTGTCTGTACCTGATTCGGCTTCGGAGGACCCGAGGATCTGCAGCTCTTCCAGGGTGAGCGGGCGGTACAGGGACATGTTGCACCTGTCCCTGTTCTCACAGAAGTTGCGTGACATGTCGAGCTGTTCGAAGAAGATGTAGTGGAATGGCATGGCCTTTGTGTACTCCGCACACCACTTGAACAGCAGGTCGTCGATGGTCTTGAAGCCACGCACATACACAATCACGGTCCGCTCGTCAAAGGCGTCCACAATGGTGGCGAAGATGTGGTCCTTTGTCACAATGCCGCGGGCACGCAGGTCCTGCTTGTTGATTTCCTTGAGCGGCACCCGCAGTCGCTTGCGCAGGATGGCCAGCACACGCGCGTGCACGTTGTACACGCCATACACCTCGCTCACGTGCCCAAAGAATTGGGGCAGGGGGTGTGGCAGCTCAAACTGCGACAGCAGCATGCTTCTGGTAGTATCATCGGGGCAGGTGTCTGCCAGCGAAAAGCACGTGATGAACCGACTGAGGTACTCGTTGGGGTTTACCCGCGGTGGCGGCTGTGGGTGGCGCAGGAGGGCTGCGCACACAAACCACTTGCGGAAGCTGGCGGGCAGTGGTGCAGCGAGCACCTTTGCAAGCCACGTCACCACCTCTGGCGACACTTCTGGGCGCACCTTGTTCTCGCCTGTCTCGTTCTTCCACATGAGCAGGTACGCGAGCGTGGTGGAAGGCCCGGAGCTCGCCTTGCGCGTCTCCAGCCACACGAACCGACACGTGTCTTTGTCGTTTGCCCCGGCAAAGCTCACCGCAGCGGTGGTTGCTGGAATTTGCAAGCAAGAGCTCATTTGCTCGGGAATGGCCGGGAACTGCTGCCTTGCTTTTCGCGCTGCTTGGTCTGCTGCAGCGTCGCGGGAGCGGCCCGTGTTGTCTTGAAGGAGAAACAGGAAACGCATGGGATCCGTGTACTCTGTTGCGTGCTCCATTGCGGACGCATACGACTCGCTCTTCCTCAACCGCTGCGTGACGGTTGTGATGGAGGGCATGATGATGTCTCTCAGAAACTGTTCGCACGGCGGCGCAGGGCTTTGCCCTGCATCATCATCGTCGTTGTTGGTCGCATCAAACAGGGTCGGCAACACACCAACATCGTCATCATCATCGTCATCGTTATCATCATCGCTTCTGCGCATGGCCTCTGCTGCTGTTGACTGCTCTTGCTCTGGTTTGTGCAGGAGCTCATAGGCTGCGTCGATCAGGCCTCGAACATCGTCTTCACCAATCAAGCCAAGGAACGTCTGGAAGATGGTCTCAAACGCTTCAGACTCGCGGCCTTCTTGTTCTGGCTGTTCTTCGTCCTTTTCCTCCCGATTTTCCCGGCTGCCGATCGTAAAGTGAGCAGAGGAGGACAGCACCGTGTAGAGCTCATCAACAGTCTTTGCACGGCGCTGTTCATCGGTGGGCTGGTGTGTCTGCTCTGTCAACACGGCAAGCACCGTCACCAGCCGCAACGCAGCTGCAACCTCACTGCCCAGGCCGTAGTCTGAGAGGTGGTTGAACAAGAGCAGGCGCTGCCGCAGCGACAAAGCGTTCGGGTGGCGCAGGAACAAGGGCTCAAACTGGTGTGTTTCCTTGTTGCGAACAAGGATGACGCCACTGCCGACAACAACAGACCCTGCAGGTGCAAACTTGGCAATGTGCCGCCACACCATCTCGTGCGTGGCAAAGGTCTGCAGGAGCGTGTAGTTCTCGGGAATTTGCGAGGCATCGGGCCCGTAGAAGGCGGAGCGAGGGAAGAAGCGCAGTGTCGCCATCTCCCTGTACTCAAACGTCAACTTGCCCGAGCTCACTTTCTTCATGCACAGGACACCACCGTCTCCGTGTTGGATGTTCACGTTCAGAGCACCAAAGCGGAAGCCATCGTCACCGCCAGACATAGGCGGCAGGGTTGCACTCGTCGCGCCATCGCCGCCATGATGCTCGCCGTGGCTGTTGGTGCCGTTGTTGTTGTCGCCTGCGTCATTGGCGTTGCCGGTGGCGTCAGCGGTAGCGCTGCTGTTGCTGCGGCCAGGTGCACTTGTGCGGTTGGCCGTGGGCACAAGATTGTCCTTCAGATGCAGCACGTCTTCCATGCGAATGACAATCTTCCGCTCCTTGAAGCTGAGGCTAACGGGGCCTTCAAGGCCCTGCGTGTGTTTGCGCGCCTTTGCACCACTGCCACCGCCCAGTCCTTCGTCCGAATCGCTCACTTCTGACGCAACAGCAGCAGAGAAAAATGACGTCAGGTCGTCATCAGTGAGAACACTGTCGCTGTCGTCATCACCATCACCATCGCCATCACCATCCCCATCTCCATCGTCATCGTCATCTTTGCGTGCATTCAGGGCACTGCTGTGTAGCGTCGGTTCTTGCAGCTCCCTCGTGGGCGCGATGGCGGGAGTCACAGACCCATCGCGGCTGCGACGGCACAGCTCCCGCAGGCTGCCGTTGCTGGTTGTCGTTGTTGCCAGCAGTAGGTGTGCCTGGACGTCATCCTCCCTCAGCACGGATTCGGGAAACAGCTTCGCCTCCACACAGAACTTGAGCTCCTTGAAGGTCGTGTCGCACATGGTGAGTGACTTGTCGCAGTAGTGGCGGAAAATGTGCGCAACAATCTTTCGGTTGGTGCTGTCGCTCTGCTGCAGGTTTTCCCTGTCGCTCTCTGTCGGGTTGTCCGTGAAGCCAACGGCGCGCACAGCCCACCTGAAGAACCAAGCACAGGTTGGGGCCGGTGCCGGTGGGTTGGGGCCGGGGGCCGGTGCGTTGGGGGCCGGTGCCGGAGGGTTGGGGCAAGATGCAACGCCATCAATACACTTGTTGAGCATTTTCTCGGCGTGGACACGTGCGTCCTTGCCAAACATGAAGAACGCCTGTACAGCCATCATAAACATGCGCACGCGCCCATTTGCGTCCTCGCTCGTTGGGTCACCCTCACCAAATGCGCGCCCAAACGCAAGCGCGGCAGCGTTCGCCACGTCACTCAGATCTGCACCTTCACGCCCCCCGCGAGAGACAATGTTCTCGTCTGTACAGAACAGACGCAGGTACCGCAGCGTAAACTCGCGGTCCTCCGCCTGCCGACCAAAGGGCTCGAGGAAGGTGCCGCTCGCGCGCATGTGAACATCAATGACACCTGGCGGGGCAATGAGAGCGGGCTGTGCCATGTAGTCTTTGTCGGTGCACCTGTCATCGAAGTCGTCGTTGCCAAGGTGGCGCTTAACACAGCGTTTCGCTTCGCGCGCAGGCACGCGCAACATCACAAACCAGGCCAGAATGAGGTCAATGATGTACTGGCGGTTTGCAGCAACCCGCTGCTCGGATGTCTCTGCCGATGCGTTCTGCATTGTCACGCGTCTGCTCTTGCTCAGCAGCTGGGCTACGGCACCAAGGTTCATCATCATGATGTCTTCGGTGCAGCCAGAATCCACCGAGAACACAACGGCACCGACCGATTTGGCCTGCGCAATCAGGTCAGGTCCAAACGCCTTCGCCACCCTCTCAAACATGGGACGGCCGTCTACGCGCTGCTGGTACACGGTGACGGTGAGCGGGCGTTCACCACGTTGGCCAACAAGGCGCGTCTCCTGCTCCACGTTCCGCTCCTCATAGGGCGCAACCACTTGCTCGTAGGAGAGGAACGCGGCCAGGGAGAGCTCTTCTGGTGTGGCAAGGTAGGTGCCAAGCAGCGGCGGGATGAGCACACCCTTCAGGCGCTCTGAAAATCCAAGTGCCCGACACACGTTGCGCAGAAGACGCCAGTTGACAGCTCCCAGATCTTGCAAGTCCACGACAAACCGACGGCTGGGGCGAAGTGCCCAGACCACCATGTACACGTGCATGGCTGCACGGGCACGCTCTGAGTGAGTGTTGTGGCGAGAGTCGCCTGATGCGATGTTACGCCCATCACGTGGAGCCATGGTGTACACGACACTCGTTTCCGCATCTGCAAGCAAGCGGTCCAGGGACACGGCGTCAAACTTGGCGAGAAATCGACGCGCAAATTGCGCCAGGTGCGTGGCGTCCTTTTCCGTTTCATTTTGCCACTGCGTCTCCAAGAACTGAAGGAGCTTGAGGCGGAGGTTTTGCAGCTCATCAAAGTGCAACGGTGGTGCATCATCCTCTTCAAAGTCCCAATCCTCCCAGCAGTTGGCTGATGTGGTGCCACCATCAGTGGCGCCATTGCCGTCGTCGTCGTCGTCGTTGGCGCCGTTACTACTGCCGGTGTCGCCACTACCCACGTCAGCCACGCCCCTGCACAGCACGTCAAACATGCGACTGCGCCGCGTGCTCCAGCTGTGACCTGGCGGCTGCGGCTGCTGCTGCGCAGACAACGCACGGTGGGCCAAACTCGGGCGGCCAGCAACCAGCTTGAGCAGCGCTGTGGCAACATTGTCCAGCGACAGCGGCGATTGGTGGCCGCTGCTGCAGAAGCACGAGCGCAGTGTTCGTACGGCAGCCACGACCTGCAGCCTCTGTTGCTCACTGTCACGAGCGGTAGCATCCACGCCATCCCGGACGTCTGCGGTGCCGCTGTGGAGCGAGGCAGCCGCACACTCACGCAGCAGCAGCACGAGTGCGTCCTCGTTTCGCGGGCCCATGCGGCTGAGCAGGTCTGCCCAGCACGCTGGCGAGAAGGGAGGCAGCGGGGCGCTGTGTTGCGCGCGCATCAGCCGCCGCACATCATCTTCATTGCCTTGCACGGCGGCGCAGACGAGCCGCCCAAGCGCCGTGTTGAGAATGCGCGGTTGCGTGTGCGTGCCCGCTGCTGCCGCTGCCCCAGACACAGCCGCGCGAGAGGACGTGGAAGCTGCAGGGGGCGGCTGCTTCGCTTGCTCACGGTCAAACAGGGTGAGTGTGCCAGCGACAATGGCAGCGCCAATGGTGCGTGCACGCCTCAGGGTTTCGTCGAGGGCGCTGACGGGGATAAGGGAACTGAGGGCTTGGGACAGGCCCTGCTGCACTACAAACAAGGAGCGAGGGTCGTCCACGCCACACAGTGTCTGCAGCAGTTGCGTTGCGTTGTCCTTGACCACGCGAAAGTGCAGGCCGGCTCGCAGCATGAGCCGGATGTGGGAGCCGTCGTTCAAGGCATCGCTGTTCAGGCCCACGAGGTGGAACAACAGCACGGCCAGTGGCGTAAACGCATCATTCTCTGTGCGGCAGAGCGCGTTGATCACGTCCTGCGTGGACGTTGTTGTTGTTGTTGCTGCTGCTGCTGGTGGTGGTGGTGTTCCTGCGGATGCGCGACGCCTTGTGTCAGAATGGAGACCAAAGATGGCCCTGAGTTCCGCCTTCTGCTGCTCCGATGTGATGGATTGCAGCAGCGAGTCAAGGATCTGCGGGCTCATCGTCAAGACGACGTGAAGTGGATATGCGCAGCACCGCAGCAAACGCACAAATCCGGTCACGGACATGGCCAGCTCGCCCCATTTCTGCGTCAGGGCAACCCAGTCCACCTCCTCCAGGCGCTGGGCGGCGCGAAGAATCATCTCCTCGGCGTTTTTCGACGGCAGCGTGCGTGCAAAGTACGTGAGCTTGCTGGTGTCAGCCTTGCCCTCATGCTGCTGCTGCTGCCTCTCGTGTGTGTTCGGGGTGGCAGTGGAGCGCTGGCTGCTGCGGTGGCATGGCAGCACGACGTTGCGGTAGGTCATGGGGATGATGGTCCGCTCGATGATGTGTGGCTTCACATCCAACGGATCGCGGTCACCCTCGTCGCTGAGCAGACTGGCGCCGTCACCCTCGCCATCGTCACTGTCATTCCCATCGTCGAATGGGTCGTTCTGTTCGCTGGAGAGGCGACGCGAGATGGCATTGAGCCAGAAGCACACGCGCTTGCCCTCGGGCAGAAACTGCAGCGCGGTGGAGTTACACAGCAGCTGCTGGTAAGAGGGCAGCGAAAACACTTCTGCGAGGGCGCGGTTGAGGCGCTGCTTGCGTGCGACGTCTTGGTGAGTGCCGCTCATGCTGGAGTCGTTCAGTCCACCATCACTGCTGTTGCTGCTGTTGTTGTTGGTGTAGGCAAGCACTGAGGTGTCGCCAGCATGGCTCAGGGTGCGAAAAGCAGACGCAACACGCTTGTACAAGAGCGAGTAGAGGTGGGCGAGCCACAGAATGCCACCAGCACCTCCAAGCGCATTGTCGCCACCAGCATGGGCGCTGCTGTTGTACTCGTCGACGCGTCGGACGGCAGCCACAAACTGGGTCCAGTTTGCTCTGTCCTCACATGGCGGAGATGGGAGGCTGTCGAGCCCGTCCAGCAACGCCTGGGCGGTGGGGAGGGCGCTCTCTGTGTGCTGCAGAACAAGCGAGGTTGTGAAGGAGCTTCCAAGCAACAGCTGCAGCAGAGCACAGAGCGACAGCGACCGGGCAATCGCATCTGCGCGCACAGACGCACGCGTGCCAAACTCATCACCGTCCTCATGAGCAGCTCCGCCGCGAGCGCCCTGACTGCCGTTCTGTGCCTCGCCATCCCCGTTGTCGCTGGCAATTCGGGTGGCCTGGCTGGCAAGCTTCACCAGCCCCTTCTGCAGGAGCAGCGCTGCTGGCGTGTGGCGCGTCAGGTCGTGGATCATGGCGCCAGCATCAGCGAAGGAGGCGGAAGTGTTGCTGATGCGGTTGGTGGCGACGGCATCAAACGTCTCCGCATCCGATGGATCCAGCGACGTGGAGAGAAACACGACAGGGCAGTCCACCTTCTCGATGCGCGTGCGCAGGGCACGCTTCTCCTCGAGCGAGAGCAGGCTGGCAGAGGAGATGACAATGCAGCTGCGCCGGTTGCCTCCTGCTGCTGATGATGATGATGACGACGACAAAGACGACCCGCCGGTGTCCGTGAGCGCTGCGTCGAGGTCGCGGTAGAAGGTTGGCGAGGCGCTGTCAAACGGTTTTGCGGCGGCGCCAAGCAGCTGCTTGCGCAAGTGGTGCAGCACGCCAATGTCCGGGTGTGCAATGATGTGCAACTGGGGGACGCTGCCACCACCGCCAAAGATGTGAGGCGTCGTGGTGCCGCTGCTGCTGCCCACGCTGCCCGCGAGACTGAGGCGAGCGGAGCCGGGCGCGCTTGCAGACGCGGTGGAGGGCGTGCTGTCTGGGTGATAGTGGTGGTGCGACCCCGTGCTTGTGTGTGTCAGCCTGGACAGCCCCTCCTCAAGCAGCCGCACGGCGTTGATGTTTGCGTTGATCACAGCGTCCACGTCCTGCTTGACCCAGTGCACAAGCGGTGATCCGACATTCTCCCGCAGCTGGGGTCGCATGGCCATGCTGGCGGTTGTTGTGTTCGTGGCAGTGCCACTGCTTGCAGCGAACGTGCGCATAGTGCTGGTGCTGTCGATCATGCCGAGCTCGTTCACAGCGCTTGGGATGGGGTGCCTGTCGTTGATGAAGCGGCGCAGCGTCGGGCGGTCAATGACCAGCGCGTCTGTGGCGGACGGGGTGAAGAGGAACTCGGCGACGGGGCTCGCAGACAGGTCACGCACGATGGCGTCGTCTGTCTGGTCGAGCAAGATGCGAACCATGCTCAGCGGGGAGGTGAACGGCAGCAGGAGGCGCGACACGTCTGCCACGGGGATGCGCTCCGTGAAGGTGAGGTACACGAGGGTGAGGGTCTGCGTGGCCTGCAGCTCAAAGAGGCGAATGCGAATGGTGGTCAGGTTGGAGCGCGACACGCGAAAGGCGAACATGCACGGGCGCCACATGCCAAACTGCAGCTGCCCCTCCTGCACGTAGCCCGTGACCCTCTGGAAGTCTGAGGACGCAAGCAGGCCAATGGACTTGCCCTCGGCGACGCGCTTGTCTGAGAGCGTGTTGCCGAGCACACGCCCCACGGATGGCTGCGTCGCGGCGTCACCGTCGTTACCACCGTCATCAAAGCCATCGCGCGTGTCACTGGCCAGCTCACGGCGACTGCTGTCAAAGTAGAAGCGCTCCTGCCAGTACTCGCTGTCCAGCAGCCTGGATTGCGCGTGCTGCTCGCGGTGGCGGAGAATGCGCAGCTGTGGCGGGCAAAAGTCGAGGGAGAGCGGGCACTTGCGCGACCACGCTGCGTCCTGAAGCTCCGCGCTGCGCAGGAGCACGGCGGCGGCAAACAGCGCATCTGTGGGGCGCAGCTGCAGGGCGCCCGGTTGCTGGTTGAGCATGCTGATGGACTTGATGGCGTCGTCGAGCGTCTTGGCCATGTTGGCGCTGCTGGCGGAGGAGACGACGACTGTACCGAGTACCAGGTACTTGCGGTCGTCCCGGTACCACGTGAAGGGCGGGCCCTTGACAACCATGCCCATGCTCTGGCTCCTGGTGTCATCCAGCTGCTGGGTGGCGACGCGGAAGCTGTGGTCGTTGTACAGGCGGATGTGTGCAAGGCGCTGGTCATGCAGCACGTCAGCGGCGGTGACGGTGGCGGTGAGATCGGACTCGTTCGTCTCCTGCTTGAGCGTGTATGGCTTGCTCATGCCGCTCTGCTGCTGAGGGGCCACGACTTGCAGACGGGCAGCCGTGTCGAGGCACAGCAGCAGCACGTGCGTGCCGTTGTTCTGCATGGATGGCGTGCAGATCTCAAGGTTGTGCCGCACCTCCACGCCGTCCGCCAGCACACACGTCTGCGCACGCACGGTTCGCTTGTCGTCGCTGGCATCGCCGCCAACGCTTCTGACGTGATCAGCCAAACGAAGGGGGTCATCGAGACGAAGGTTGAAGCTGCTCCACAGAGCACACTCGTCCTGCACGACGTGATTGTTTGGGGTGGAGGCTTCCAAGAGCTCGTTGATCAGATCCTTGGCACGTGCGATGGCGAGCTTGTGGTTGTGAAGAGACTTGTTGAGAGCAGTGCCTGCCTTGCGCCGCGCCCGTCTTTCGTTGGTGCTCGGATTGTTGCTGACAGCCCTCACCTTGGCCAAGCGTGCCCTGAGCTGATGCCAGGCCTGCTCGGAGAGCTGCGTGTGCGCGTCTTGCCATGTCGACTGCTTCGACACTTCTGCCAAGTCCAGCAGCGAGGCGACGGCCCACACATCGCGCACGATGGTCTCAGCAAGTTCGCGGTCGTTGGCGATGGCGAAGGGTGCGCTGCCTAAGTTGCTGGTGCCGCTGGGATCGGTGCTGTTCGCGTCAGCCACGCACTGGCCCCAGCGCTTCAGAAACGTGTTGAGGCGTTGTTCGAGCGCCCGTGTGTAAGGGTCGGTGCCACCATCGCTGCTGCTGTCTGGAGACGCATTTGTGGCTTCAGACACATCGGCGACGGCAGCCTGCATTGAGGCGGGGCGGGCTGCACTGCTGCGGGCAAGCAGCAAGCGGCGCAAACTCTGCAGGAGCTGCTTGGGGTCGGCGGTCGCGGCGCTGGTGCTGCCTCCGCTGTCACTGCCACCGTTGGCACTGGTGCTCGTGCCATGCAAGATGGCATTTATTCTGGACAGGGAGTCCTCATACGATGTTGCCATACCGACGATTCGGTCAAACTCGCACACGCGGTGGGTGTCGGGGAGCAGCCGCTGTAGGGCCTTCTCAAACTCAAGCCATACAGGGCGCATGACCGCGTTGTTCAAGAACCTGAGCTTGATCTCGGCAAGCTCATCCACGGTGTGCCTGGTGTGGGCGTTGTTGTCGTGAGTGGTGTCGTCGGTAGTGATGTTGTCGGGGTTGCTGCTTCTGAAAGCTTGGCACCAGTCGAGCATGTGCTGCAGTTTCTGCTGCACGAGCTTGCTGTCGCACTCCTGCCCTTTCAGATTGAGGAGGAAGGTGGAAAACCTTTCGGGTGTTGTTGCCTGCATCGTCTCGTGGATGACCTGCGTGATGAAGCAAAACGCTTTCAGCACCATGTCATCGGGGATCAGGCGGTCCAAGACAAAGAAGTCGACGCTGGCTCGCACATCAAGCTTGTGGTTCACGAGACGGTCCACGCGCAAGACTTCCGACGGCAGAGGCCAGCAGCCCCTGAGCTTGTCGTTCGTGGTCACCATTTTGTGAAGCGCTCGCCTGGAAGGGGTATGGGAGGAGGGATGGGAGGGGATGGTGTGTAGGTGTATGTGCGTGTACGTGAGAGAGTGTGGTGAGAGAGTGTGCGTGTCGGTGTGTGTGTGTGTGTGTGTGTGTGTGTGTGTGTGTGTGTGTGTGTGTGTGTGTGTGTGTGTGTGTGTGTGTGTGGTGGTGGGTGGTGGTGTGTGT